CTGAGATCAAGAGTTGGACACTTAACTGAGCCACCCAGGCACCCCAAATTCCAGTCTTTGATGCCTGTGTCGGGTTATATGTGGGAACGGGTGAAAGCCAGCACACAACCATATGGGTATTTCAAAAAGGTCACAGGTTAGGGTTAGAGCTGGTCTCTGCCCCATGGCATGACCGCCTCTAGACCCTATGCAGGGCTGCAGAATGTGGCCTGGGGTTCGAGGCACAGTGCACCACCACAGAGGGAAGCACAGTTACCTGTGAACCCCGGTGAGCACCCAGAGATCTACACCCCAGTCTTCTGACCTCCCATCCCCACAACTCACCAGCAGCGCAGGCCCCACAGCATGGGGAAGGGGCACCTTGTGTGCCTTTCTAGAACGCGGGCCAGCCCAGTCCTGTATTCGGTTGGCCCTCCGAAATACTTGCAGGACAAATGAAGTGTCCACTCCAGACTGAACAGGGTTTTCAATTACTCCACCATTTACAAAATACTCACATATTACTCTTTTTTTGGATATTTATCATGATCTTCTGCAGTTGGAGACAGAGGAGCTAAAATTATCCCTGTTTTGTAGCCAAAGGAAACAAGGCTTGGAAAGGCTACGTATTTCCCCCAAGATCTCACAGCAATTACATGCCAGGGTTAAAATTTGAATATGGGATTAACTGAGAAACCAACCTATGCTAACGGCAAAGCTACCCAGAAATTCCCAGCTCTCAAGAACATTCCAGTGTAAGTTTCCACCACCTCCTGAAGTAGAATCATTCCCGGGCATCTAACGTCAACCCCTGGGGTCCACAGAGTGTCCTGGAGGCAGCTGACATGCTGACAGTAGCTGAGAAATTCAAGGAGGAACGCAATGAGCAAACACTGAAGCCAAAAACCAAACAGCACGACAGGTACACACACTATTTGAGTGCACAGTGGCCCCGTGGGTCACAGAGAAGCTCCTTGTTCTCCGAGACCATCTTGAGAGAAGAAAAATTGGCCGAAAAGATGGGAAGATGAAAAGGTCTTTATTACACATGAAAACCACGCGGTATTTTAGTAAGAAGCCCAAATGTGTGTCTGCCGGGGGCCGTGATCTACACCACCTTTCATGCTAGTGCCCGTCCTGGAAAGGGGGCAGCTCTGGTCCAGGTCCACAGGGCTCACAGCTGGTGCCAAACATGAGAAGCTGGTTTTAACAAAAGTCAGCTGGTATTTGAAATGCAA